TTCCCACAGTCAGTCCCTAATGTTGTTACTCTTAACTACCATCAAGTCAAATCATGTTCTCATCAACAGCCCTGTTCAGGTCTCGCAGATTCAAAGCTGTGACTTCCTCAGTTGAATCTATCCATCTGGAATGCAGTCTTTCTCTTTTCCAACTGCCTTCTACTTTACTAATCCCTAATACTTTACCAATCTCTAATACTTTACCAGTCCCTAATATTTTTTGCTAAAAGATGGCTAAAGATCTGCCATCTTAGATGTATGCACCTGGGAGTAAGTCCTACTGAATTCAGTGGAGCTTAATGCCTGGGTAGAGATGGACAATGTCCAAGCATATACTTAAGAAAACGGCAATAATTGCTATCGAAGTCTGAAGTCTGAAATGTAGGTTACTTCCATTAGGAAAGAATTTCTGAAAGGTATCCCACAAGACAACTATCCCACTATGACAGCTATTCCATTAGTCCACTCTATTTTCATTTTCCCAATACCTTGGGAAGGCATTGCGTGTGCAAGCATTTGGAGGGTCTCATGGAGTAGAACTTGATGCTAGAGTCTGGAAGGATAGACAAGCCTTCTGTCCCAGTAAGGGGGGATGTATAGGACCAGGAAAGAGAGTAAGAGTTGTTTGACTGTGGAAATGCTGCCTCAGAGTGTAGAGGAGTCTCCTTCTTTGGAGATTTTTAAAGAGAGACTGGATGGCCGTCTGTCAGGAATGCTTTGATTGTTTATCCTTGCATGTCAGGGAGTTGGACTGGGTCACCCTTATGGTCTCTTCTGGCTCTATGATTTTAGGTAAGCTAGAGAAATAAAGAGGTAGCATCCAACATCTGGAAGAGGGTGGCTGCAACAGCAGCAAATAGCCTTATAGAAGCTAACCAGACAGTTGAGCAGAGATAAAGCTCATAGGAGCTGCTGCCTTCATTTTACTGGCAAAATGCCCAGCAACCCACCTGGTGGCACAGGGGCCAGAGAGAACTCTAAGCTGCCAGATGGAGATACTGGGCAATGCAGCAGATCTAGGATTTCTCCTGGTGCCAGGCAAGTCTGCTGACAGCCAGCCTTACACCATCCCCAGTTTACAGGCTACAGCCAGAGGGACTTCTAGAAAGTTCTGGTGGGACTGCAGCTTAGAAACAACCATACAGGTTCCAGAACATATTTTCTTAATGTTGTTGTCATGTGCTTTCAAGTTGTTTCTGACTTATAAGGATCTTCCTATAGGGTTTTTATGTCAAGATTTCTTCACAGGCGGTTTGACATAGCGTTCTTCTGAGGTTTAGAGATTGTGACTTGACCAGTAGATTTCCATGGCTGAGGGGGGAATTCAAACCCTGGTCTTCCAGGTTACTGGTCTAGCACAGACCCCTACAACATGGTGGATCTCTTAATAGACCTCTCTTTTTTTACTAATAAAAAACCCCCACATATTTCCTGAGCTTGTACAAGTTATTCTTGGGGTTTATTGCGAGTTCCAGAATCCTCCAGCCTCCATAGCCAGTAGCAGTGAAGGCTGTTGGTTTCTAGGAATTTTAGTCCCTAAAGGTAGCTTTTCCTAGCTTTGCCTACCTAATCACAAAATCTGTGGTACACTTACACCTTTTGGGGCATAGAAGAGAATCATAGAACCAGTTTACCTAGATGTAGAGCACAGCTTGGGTCCAGATTATTTGAAGGACTGTGGGCCGATGCAGACAGCCAGGAATGGGTGGCTCTGTGCTGCCACTGGGAGTGGCGAATCGGGGAAGTGGCAACCACATGCTGTGGCCCTGATCCTCTTTTTGCCGCCCCCCAAAAAGTGGCAAAATGCCACCATTTGAGCCCTTTTGCGCCAAGAGAGTGCCTTGATACTGCATGCTTTGCAAACAGGTGCACGGCATCGGGGTGGAGTTGGGGCAGCTGGCATGTGGTTGCCCCACCCCAACTCCACTCCCAGGCCAGCCTACACTGCCAGTCTGCATTGGCCCTGTATTTTCTTTTATGAACCCTTTGGAGTTTTAAGCTCTTCTGGCCAAGCCCTTTCTCTCTGTCCCTCCACTATCCTGAGCCCTGTCCCTGGATATCCCCAGAAGAACAGCAGAGCTACAGGCAGTGCATTGCATTGTAAGGGTGCTGCAAGGATGTATTTGGTCTCCTTGATCACAATGGTTTAGAATATTTCTTTAGAAACTAAATAATAAAACTACCAAATCTTACAGAGGTGGAAGAGATAACCACAGAGAATATCCCCGGTGGAATTCATATTCGAAAACAGAACAATTTGATACCAATATCTGAACCCTGGGAACCAAATCCCATCATACTCTCTGTATATTTTGAAAATGTTTCACATGGGGGGATTCTAATAGTAGATGGAATCAACAAATTTAGGGTAGAGGGTCAGCTCTCCCAGGAATAAAGCTGAGTGTCTCATCCATCATTCCATATTTTCTTTGTGACTATTTTTTCACAGAAGCGGGGGTCGAAAATGCCACTCAGCATTTATAGAGCATCCATATCTGTCTCAAAGGTATTCATCCTGCAATCCCCAAAGGTGAGGCATTGCAATGTTCCAATTAAATATGCTGTCTGGGAGGGTAAGAAGGAAGCAGAGAGAGAGCAAAAAATTAATAAGTGCATGGGGAAAATGTAGAATGCACAATTGATTTTAGATCTTCTGCTAGGCACGCTACACATAATTGCCACCTGTAAATCTGTGCTGAAAAAGTGTAAGCCATCGAAGAGCTTGGAGGTTTTTGTTCACTGAGCACTGCGATCATTTCAAGGGAAACGCATTGGAAATGCAGACAGAGGCATGAGAAAATGAAACTAAAACCTCACAAAGTTTGAGGAAAGAATGCAAAGGACCTAGTGGCTTGATCAGGATGCACCTTTTGTTGGGAAAAATTAAATTAATGCCTATACATTTATGCTTTGCTGGAGCAGAGTATAAATACAAGGTGGGGGGTGAATATTAATAGAATAAGTATTAGTTAGAACAAGTGACAGTGTGCAGAATAGAAATACCAAGAGAGCTCATTCCCTTATCTCCAGTCAGTAACACAAATAGTAATATTCAGAAGACTAGTGGTAACTGGATTTGTTGGGTGCCTTGTATAACAAATGATGTTGATGCACCATCGGTGACAAAGTGTGTATATTTTTTCCCAGGAGAGCAACATAAGATCTCAAAGACTTACTAAAAAGCAAGTATGTCTTACGCTAGACCCAGTGAACATCATTCAATTGAGAACTGCCAACCCAAAAAGTATTTAGCCCAGTGGATAATGAGATTAGTCATAGATTCTTAGAGTTGGAAAGGACCACAAGAATCATCTTTCTTTCCTGCACTTCAGAAATAATGCAATTTGACACCACTTTAATTGCCATGGCTCAGTGCTATGGAATTCTGGGATTTGTAGTTTTGTGAGATATTTAGCCTTCTCTATCAAAAAAACTATGGTGATGCAACAAGCTAAAAATCCCAGAATTCCATAACATTGAGCCATGGCTGTTAAAGTGATGTCAAACTGCATTGTTTCTGCAGTGCAAATGCAACATGTGTCACACACACACACACACACACACACACACACACACACACACAGCAGGAGCAATATAAAGTGAGAGGACATGGGAGAGGACCTTCTCACTGAGGCACCCCAGTTCTGGAATGTCTTCTTCTTGAAAATCCAATTGTCACCAACTTTGATTGCATTCTGGCCCAAGCTAAAACATGGCATTTTATTAAATCCTTGGGGACCTATTCATTTCAAGTCCAGGAGTTTCTTGTTGTGTGGCTTCAAGTCATTTCTGACTTATGGCAACCCTAAGGAAAACCTATCATGGGATTTTCTTGGCAACCTTTCTTCAGAGGAGGTTTGCCATTGCCTTTTGTAGCCAAAAGTCTAGTATGGGAATTTTATTTAGCTCCAACTGAGAAGGGAACAACTACAAAGACCCTGCAAGACCATCTCCCACTTGTATACCAAGAGGCCGGTGGATGTAAGAATTGATGTAGAGACAGGATTCTCCAATTAAAGTATTGTTTTATTAAAGGGGAAATCACACAATAATTCACACTCATACACTCATTCATTCAAGGCTCAGGAAATCAAGGGTTAGCTTGGAAAAGATCTTGAGGCAAAACTATGAGTGATATTTACTACAGATGAGGCTTCCAATAGGGTGAAGTGGCATGAGACACAGCCATTCCAAGCATGTTGGTTTGAACAGAAGCACCGGTAACTAGACTAGAGATCACAGTGATGTAGCGTCTCCATGAACGCCAAACTAGCAACACTGAGGGGGAAAATTCAGGGGGTTTTAAGGGATAAAACTAGCTGCAGGACAACGGTTGTATGGGTGAGGTAATCTGGTCTGGCAATATTCAAGGTGAATGGGAAAAGGATTAAGTCAGGGGTAGGCAACCTTTCCCCTTTAAGGGCCGAGGGACTTCAGCTCCCAGAATCCCAGGAGCTATTGGCCAACATGGGACTATTGGCCAACATGGCTGAGGCTTCTGGGAGCTAAAGTCCCTCGGCCCTTAAAGGGGAAAGGTTGCCTACCCCTGGATTAAGTCATTAGCTGGCCTATCAGGTGAGACATCTAAGCAATTATCACCCATTCCTTCTCCCACACTATCTCCCTATCCTTGAGATCATTTCTGTCAGTCTTCCAAGTGACCTTAGTATGACCTGCCTGTCATCACCCAGGTGGCACTTGAGGTCAACTGCAGGGTACATCTGAGGTTATGTGAAATGCCACACACCAGGGGTAGGCAACCTTTCCCCTTTAAGGGCCGAGGGACTTCAGCTCCCAGAAGCCTCAGCCATGTTGGCCAATAGTCCCATGTTGGCCATTAGCTCCTGGGATTCTGGGAGTTGAAGTCCCTCGGCCCTTGAAGGGGAAAGGTTGCCTACCCCTGCCACACACACACCAAAATTAAGAAAAATGCACTTTGGCTAACACTTTCCCTGAGGCTGAGAGACTGTGACTTGCCGAAGGTCACCCAGTGGGTTTCATGACAGAACTGGGAATTGAACCCTAGTCTCCAGATACGCAGTCCAACACTCAAACCACTACGCCACACTGGCTCAAGTGTACATAATTTTAAATTGCTTAGTGGGTTTAACTGTTGTGTTTAAGGTGGTTTTAACCATTACTATGTTTAATCCTTAAAAAAAAAAAGCTTTTTCAAATTACAGTCGTCCCTCCCCATTTGCAGATTTGAAGTCTGTGGCCTTGCTCTTCACAGGAGAGACAAGCGGAGAGGGACAAAATGGCGGCATGCCATAAATGAACACACCATTATTTTCAATGGGACTCGAATATTTGCAAGTCACCATTTTCGTGGGGGGTCTGGAATAGATTCCCCATGAATTGGGAGGGGCTACTGTAATTATGCTTTTAGTCTGTTGATGTTTTAAATTGCTTATAATGCATGTCTTCCTGATATCCTTTGATAAAGGACAGGGTGATTGGGCTGACAGACCTCAGACTATCTGGGAACAACTTTGTTGTTCTGCTTTATTAGAAGCCCAAAGTAAAACCAGGTGCAAAAGCCATACCTTTAAAATTGGGTCTGTTTCACAGTGATAGCACTTTGATACCACTTTAACTGCCATGGCTCCATCTATAGAATCTTGGAATATGCAATTTTGCAAAGTATTCAGAATGCTCAGCCAGAGACTTCTAGTGCCTCACCAATCTACAAATCCTAGGATTCTATAGAATGTAACCATGACTGCTAAGGTGTATGAAAGTGCAAGGTCAAGAAATTTTAGAGAATTTGGAGTTATGAATTAGTTTTCAAATCTAGAAATGGATTGAGCTCACAGTCTTCCACACAGAAAGACCTATTCTCTGTTTCTTTCAGGGCACTTCTTTTCAACAGTATAATTTTAGGAAATGGGTGGGGAGAGACTTTTTTTTGTTGAGAAAGGGAGAAGGGAATGGCAGTGGGAAGGAGGATCAGATCCAGGAGTTCTCTCACTCTGGGGCCATGGCAATAGTAGTGGTGTCCCTAGGGTTGGTGTCACCCGGTGCAGTAACTTATGGTGTCACCTCTCCCCCCCCCCATTGACCTCTTCCCATTTCACACCATACAGAATCCTTAGTAATGCTTTTTTGCACTAATGTTACTGATGAATCGTAATTCCCATATATCACTGAATGTAATGCTAATAGTTGTGACACCAAACAGCTTACAAAAAAAGTCTTGGAAACCTTGGGTAATTTATACTGTTTCAGATTCAGATTAAGGCAATGGCAAACTCCATCTGAACAAATCTTGCCCTAAAAACCTCATGATCTTAGAGTCTCCATAAGCCAGAAATGACTTAAAGGCACTCAACAGCAAGAGATGCCATTTCAATATATCAAGGATATTTGCTGGGTTGGGGAGGGGGGAGATCAGAAAAATATTGCAACCTTCCTGCGATGGATTGGCTGTGTTCCCCCATGTTCTTTTCTTCAGCAGCTTTGAATTTCAGTCTGTTTCAATTTCAGCGTTTTAACTTTGGGAGATATAAGCAGAACACAATAGACTATTGTGTGTTAGCATCTCAGGTCCATGCAATCTGACCTTGACATACTTGGGGTGATGTATTCAGAGAGAATAGCAATTTAATTCAGCAGAATAAGTGCATCTTCCCATAGAACCACAAGAGATGAAATAGAGGAGGTGGGAAACCATGGTCAGTTGCTATGGTTATATGACCCTGCAATGACAGCAGGCCTTCTTCTCAGAATAAAGCAATTTTCTGTTTGCCTTTTATGAAACCATGTTTGCCTACTTTCCTTTTTTACACCAAGCACCAATCCTAAAGAGTAAAGATAAACAACTGAGCATGAAAGTTAGAATTATACAAGCCATTATATTTCTCATTACTATGTACTGATGCAAGAGCTGGACAGGGAAGAAATCAGATAGGAAGAAAGGTCGTAGAACAGATCAAGATGGAAATCTCCCTAGAAGCTAAGATGATGAAACTGAAGCTGTCGTATTTTGGCCACATCATGAGAAGGCATGAGTCATGGAAAAGACAATAATGCTAGAAAAAGTGGAGGGATGTAGACAGAGAGGAAGACTGCTTGCTAGATGGATGGACTCTCTTTTCCTCCCATCTGCTCATTAACCATAAAAAAAATGTGAGCCAAATCTCATGCAATACCTCTTGACTTTTTGTTGTTGTTAACTGCCTTCGAGTCAACATAGACTCATGGTGACCCTATGAATGAGATATCTCCAAGACCACCTATTCTTTACCACTCTGCTCAGGTCCTACATGCTCAGGCCCATGGCCTCCCTGATTTAATCTAGCCATTTGGCATGTGGTCTTCCTCTCTTTCTATTGCTTTTCACTTTTCCTAGTATCATTCTCTTTTCTAGTGAGTCATGCTTTCCCTTGATATGGCGAAAATACAACAGCCTCAATTTAGCCATTCTGGCTTCCATGGTGAGTTTGGGCTTCATCTGTTAATGCATGCACATAATATATTATAAGCAAGCAAACTATAACCAGCAAAACACCCTGGCTTCATAGCAGGCAAGCTGAAAGACTAGTTCCTGCCACAGGCTCTCCTAGCTTGTGTATTATTCCTCATTAAGAATTTTTGCCATCTTGACCACACTCTGATGTTGCTTGGCCACATGTGTCTAATAAGTTTTCATCTGTGGAATGTCAGAGGGTAGGCTATCATAGAAGTTTCCTTAGATGGCAGCTCACTTCTTAAATGGGTTGCAGGGCACTCAAAAGCAGCAGCAGATTTCCAACAACTATTGGGGGTTGCAGACTGTCAAAAATAGTGTGAATTCAGTCCACTTTTAGGGTTAGGGTTAGTGCTAGGGAATCATGGGAATTGTTATTTTTCTGAGACATTGAACCTTCTTTGTCAGAGAACTCTAGTGCCACAATAAAATTCAGTTCAAATGATTCCCTAACCTTAACCCTAACCCTAAAAGTGGACTGAATTCACACTATTTTTGACAGTCTGCAACCCCCCTAACTTCCTTCCTTCCTTCCTTCCTTCCTTCCTTCCTTCTGCATTTTATGGCAGTCCAGAGGGTTCCCAGGGGAGAAAACTGACTTTCAGAGAGCCTTTTACACTGCATAATTATAGTACTATGATTCTACTAACTGCCATGGCAACATCTTATGGTCTCCTGGGATTTGCAGTTTAAGGAGGGATGCATCAAACTCTCAACCTAAAGGCTCAGGTACAAGGGCTCTCAATCTTTGGTTCTCCAGATGTTTTGCACTTCAGCGTCCAGAATCTCTCAACATTGGCCATTCTGGCTAATGTTTTTGGGAAGGAACATCCAAAGCACCTGGAAAACCAAAAATTATGAAGCATGCTGCTCATGAAACTTCAAGATCCAGATCCCTCACCAAATTACAAGCTCCAGTATTCCATAAAGTGCAGCCATGCCCATTATAGTGGAATAGTGAATGCCATACACCTGCATAAATCATGCTACACATGCAAGGTGAATCATTCACCCTAGTGCATAGTACTGGCAGCAGGGAAGCAGAGGTGAACATACAGCAATGTTGTGAATTGTAGGTGGACATGACAGATTGTGGTTGCACAGTGCACAAGGGCACCCAAGTAACTGATATGTGTTCTACAATGTTGCTATTCAGCAACAGGGTGGAGTAGTGCTGACCTAGCGTATCTCTGCATGTAGATATTTCTTTATACTAGGTTGAGGGGATGCTGGACTGCAGCCATAGTGCTATTAGTGTGTAGTGTAAAAGGGTCTTAGATCCATCACAGTTGTGCATATCTGCTACAAAACAGAAACAACTTTTATAAAAACAGGGGAAAGTAATCTGAAACCCAATTTGGAAATCCTTTGCCATGCACTTGAAAATGAAGACTGAGCAGGAAGGAGGTGAGTGCACTTTTTGTGAATTTCAAAAAAAGATATTCTTTGGCTGAGAACTATAAGAAGTGCAAATTAGTCTCCACTCTTGTCACTGAGTATAGGAGTCCACTTTTATATTGCTGTACGCCTGCAGATTGACTATTTTTAGTTCCAAGGGGAAAGGCTGCCAATTTGCTCCCCCTCTTTCTCTTTTTTCCCTCTTTCTCTGTCCTTACAATCAATATTAGCAAGCTATTCAAGATGATCAACAAAGCAATCCATTACTAAACCAGCCTCCTGGCAAGAATATCTGTTACATTTATTATTACACTAACGCTGCTCGTAATTAACTATTTTAACCCAGACTTGCAAATTCTCATTTGTACAGCCTCTCTGCTTTGTAAGTAGTAATGGGTCCGCTCTTGCTTTATTTATTTTATTCCCTTTATTTGCTGAAAGGCAATTGACTGAGTCAGGAAGCAATGACAGTTTTGATGTCAGAGTCAACCTGAACCAAAAGCTAAATATGGAGAAAAGTTGTCTAGCAGTCAATACCAATAAGAAGTTCCTTTTCCTGTATGTTAAAATTTAAGCATATTAGGATGTTTTAAGTGAGGCATGGGCAAAAGGATCGCATAGAATCACAGTTTGTCTGCACTGTAGACATAATGCAGTTTGATACCACTTTGACTACCATTGCTCCATCTTACAGAATCCTGGGATTTGGAGCTTTGTGAAGTACCAGCAGTACTTGGCAGAGAAGGCTAAAGAACTTGTAAAACTACAGATCCCAGGATTTCATAGCACTTAAAGTGGTGTCAAACTGTATTATTTCTATGACGTAGATGCACCCTTAGAGTTGAAAGGGGCTGCAAAGGCCACCTAGCCC